AATAGAGAAACCTCAGATTTATTCCAAACTAGGACATGGTAACTCGAACTCACCATAGGGGTGTTTGTTCTCTTTGCCTGTTATGTGCTATATACTTGGATCAATGCAAGGGTTCTTGACTTCAAAACAATGGTTTAGGCATGCCAGTTATGGAGTTTGAGTGCAATGTTTTCAGTGGGGTATAGTGATTCTGCCATAGTGAGGGGTTTTTCTTCAGTAATCTTGTGTGAACGGTAAGATTTGGTCGAGCACTACTAGAAATATGACTTTTTGCGTCTATTTTTTTGCAACTAATTGGTTGGCCATCACAAAAAAATCACTTTTTATATCAAAATCTCATTTAACATAACCCCCCAGTTGTGTTCTTAACTTAAAAAAGAAAAAAAGAACAAAAAAACACCCAAATGGTATAAAACTTGCCCTATCCCCTCTCACTCTTATTTCCTAAATCTATCTCGATTTTGCTCTCTCGATTTGGCTCTGTTTCTCGCTTTATAAATCGCCATGGTCGTCTGAAGAAGAGACCTGCAACGGTATGAACTCCCCTAACTTCTTTATCTAGTAATCTCTTCGTTCTCCTCATTTCTCTCTCAAATCTCCTCTTTCTTTGTTTTTTCTTATTTTATGATCTGAATCTACTTCTAGGGTTTGGATTGACATATTCACCAACTCTTCTCTTGCATGATGTTGCTTGCCAACTTAATCAACTTAGATTTCATCAGATTAAAATCTGTATGTCAAAGCTATATATAGGCAATAAATTTTAATCTTATGTATCGATTTTTATGCAAAGAGGCTTTAGTATCATCAAAGACTGCAGACTACTAATTAAACTGTTAAAAGATAATGTCTATCATGGATGTGGATCAAAGTCAGATATTTGAATTTTATATTCAAATAATCATTACATTGATGATGTAGGAATGTCATATTCTAGACTTTTTTAGTTCATTTCATACTTAGGCTTGGTATAGTGTTCCTAGGAATTTAAACTTTTGGCTCTAGAACAATGAGAGGGAAATGCCTTGGAAATCATACTTGAGGCTCTGATACATTCAACATTAAATTTATTCAAGATGACTCTTACACAATGCCAATTATGTTAGAATCTAGCTTGAACACTAGGAAACTTGGTGACCAAAGAAACTTGAAAGCTAGTCAATGCTTGGTTTTTTGAAACTTCACTAGATCTTCTAAATCTGACCTAAACAACATTCCATTAAACTGAAGCTGAGAACCCAATTCTAAGCTTTAGAGGACTTGAATTAATGCTGGAGCAGAACATATATATAAACTCATGTTATGACAAATTTTGGGTGTTTTCTGGAAACTGATTCAGTATCGTTATGCAAAAAAACCATACTTGACTGGCCCGTTAACCCCATACAACATGGTGTAACCATGTGAAATCCAATTAATTCAATGTGAATTTGAACTTCCAAAAGCGTTTCTAACCACCCAATCCAGAGTATTTGTATTAAGATGTTTTGGCCTCAAATATTTTCGTAACATCCTCTGTTTTTTTTTTTTTTTTTTTGTCAGGGTTTTTGTTATGAAAAATCATAATGACAAATCTATGCTTTGTAACCATTTTGGTGTATACGATTGTTTTTTGATTATTGTATAACTAATTAAAATTAAAGGCACCTCATTATAGGTTCTAATTTTTTTTTTTCTCGTTGCATTAATTACTACAGATTAAGAAGTGGAATGTGCAGCGGAGAATGGGATTTTCGCTGGGCCTCTTTAATCGAACATCTTCACTTGGCATGGAGTTTTTCAGATAATATTTTGTGCTTTGTTTGAAGATAGTTATTTGGTTTTATTTGAAGTTTAATGGATTAATAAGGCCCCCGAGACACTCTTCTTGAACATTGACTCTTGATTATTGTTTGTAGCAAAACGTACCTTTTTTAGTAGTGGAGGTACCACCTGATTGAGGTTTTTCTTTTCCTTTTGCTCTTCGTTCTATTTTTTTCTAGGCAGTATTGTCATCATAGCTTCCAAGAAAAAATCCCCCAAGTTCTTTGAACTAGCATCGGTAGGCTTTATAAGATTAATGATTTGGATAGCCAATGTTAGTGTCACTTGAACCAATGGTCAAAAAGAGAATAGTCGAGCAATTATAACCAGTACAGAATCCTCATTCCCTATCCCTCAGTTTAAATCAACCCACTTTCTTAGAGTCAGTGATGGCACAATGTTTGACTGGTAAAGATATTGACCGCTCTTCAAATGGACTGTAGATGCTCTGCTACTCTAGCTAAAACCATTATCGGATTACATCATCCATTTGAGGCATCTATTGCCTGATCCATTCCATCCACTCATCCGATTCCTGATCTACCTCCGCCGACCGAAGATTTTCAAAAGTTTGAGCAACAGAAAAACCAGTCCATATCTAACCTCCAACGGCTCCAGCATCGCCCCATTGGAGGGCCTTTTCCTCTTGATCTGAATGAACTTAACCTAACCCTGTCAAAAATTTCCAAGCTCAAGAAGAAGTTCAAGAAATCACAAGGAATTAATTATATCCCTGATATTGAAGATGGACATATTAAGGCTATAGTAAGACTTCCGGACAGGTTCAAGATGTTGTACACAGATAGATTTGATGGAACCGGAGATCTAATTATCCATATCTATCTCTTTTTGGACATTCTCAAACCCATAGAACTAATCCGAGCTCAGAAGCTTTCCTTGTTTGCAAGAACCATGTCTGGAGTTGCTGCTACTTGGTACGCCAACTTAGAAGATAAGGTGAAATGAAATTGAGAGGAAATAGTTGAAGCATTCATTACTCAGTACTCATACAGCACATAAATAGAGATTATCACCTAAGAATTGGAGGCAACTCATAAAGAGTGTAAGGAAAATTTTGTAGCCTTTGTTAATAGATGGAGCACAAAAGCAACCAGGATAATAAACAAGCCTTCAGAAAAAGATTACATCTGACCTGTTGCGAGGAAACTACATGGTAAGAAATAGTTTTCCCCCTTTTCAATTTCAAAGATCCACATGAGATTGGAGTCTAAATCAGAGATGCAATGAACCAGGGAATTATAATGGAAGGAAATGAGCCTACACAGAAGACATTCACTCGTAGCTCCAATGCTACCAGTAGCATAGCTGCTAGACTTGTAGAAGTCAATACCATTGTTACCAATACCATCATTTCACCAATGCCCACCCACAATCTACCAACTCCACCTGAGCCCAGAACAGAACTTTCTACCATTTCCATTTGAACCTAATCTGAACTATGAAAATCTAAATGGAAAAGTGGTATCTTAAGCCCCTTGACCCTTGACCTCTTCCCAAACCTCACCCAACCAAACATGACCTGCCAAATATTTCACCTTTTACTAGCAATACGGTCACGACATTGATCGTTGCTTTTGCCTTTGTTATGAGATTCAAGATCTCATCAACAACAAAACCATAGGTCCACCAGAAAAGCCCAATGTCACCACCAACCTATTGTCCATCCATGACCAAGTGCCACCCCTTTTAAATCTCAACCTCATCCATACACTACCACCCATCTTCAACCCCAACATATGCATCACTCAATCTTACCTACCTAAACCTGAGGTGTTCATCCCAGATGGCACTGATTTGTGCATGATGGACACACCTAAACCCAACCCAAACCCAAACCCTATAGTAGTAGGCCTGGAAAAAGGAGAAGCAGTGGTAAAAGAAGGGAAGAGTCCAACCTTAAAGAAAAAATAAGTAAAGCCAGAGAAAGAAGCCTTCGAAGTACCAGTCATGGAGAAAGCAAAGTTGTCCAAAAAAGAATATGACCCAAGCAAGTACGTTGTGCTTGTTGGACAACCAAGGCCGAAAGTCATATCACCCGATTCATTCAGCATTAATGCCATTAGAGAAGAAGGGCTAGAACAAAATTTGGATGATTTAGCAAATTTAGAAGAAGAATTGGACAATCTCCAATTCTTTGAGGAGCAAGACATAGGGAACGTGAAAATAAGAGGGTGGAATCTAAGTAACTCAAAGACTAACCATGGTTGGACAAGGAGCAAGGAAGATTCTGTAACAGAGGAGGATATGGAGATTGAGATGAAAACAAGGGAAGATAAATTAGAAGTAGATGCTAAGGGAAAAAGGAAAGTTGAGGAGTAATGAATAAGATTTCAAAACGAGTAATGAAGAAGAGGATTTTGAAGAAGAAAATAAAGAAATACTAGAACATCACTAATAGAAAAGAACTAGGTCACCAATGGAAGAGGAAAAACAGAGAGCTAGCAGAGCATAGGGACACAGAAGAAGAAGAAGGGAAATTTTTACAGAAATCTAATCAAAATCACCCTTTTAGCCAAATAATGAGGATCATAATGTGGGGATGATTCAAGCAGAGCAGAATAATTGCTTGTTAGTAGATAAAAGAGAGTTGAGGAGACATACCTGCAATTTGCTTACATAAATGAAGGAAGAAGGAAGAATGCTCCTGATGATACATTGTATACGGAGGAGATAAATCACTTAACTAGGAATGGGTGTTTCGTTAATCCTCCACACCTAGATCAGAGAGAACCTTCAAGAAAAGATGAAAAGAGAAAGAAGTAGAAGAAGACTTCATGTTAAAGTAGCTGAAGAAGATTCAACCGAATATTTCGATCTAAGGACTCCTCATGGCTTCTCATGAACATCATCAAGTAATGTTGACAAGTTTGAACAAGGTAAAATTATTAGTTGACAGTATGCCAAATCAACTCATATCCATGATTATGTCAGGGAAAACAATTCCAGTATTAACTTTTTCAAATAAAGAATTGCCGCCAGAGGGGACGAGTCATAATAAGCCCTTGTATGTGTCACTTGAGTGCACGAAGAAATGGATTCCCGTGGTTCTTGTAGATATTGGGTCAGTTATCAACGTGTGTCCCTCATGTACTATTTACACGATAGGGTTGAAACTGTTAGACTTTACACCTACAAGTCAATTAATCTGAGCATATGATAACACCAGCAGAGAGGTTATGGGTACTATCAGTATGAAGATAATGGTGGCTTCATCTGAACCTAAGGCTGAATTCCATGTCATGGACGTTCCCGCAACTTTCAATATGTTATTGAGAAGACCTTGGTTACATCAGATGAATACAGTGTTGTCTACCATGCATCAATCAGTGAAGTATCTGGACAAAATGGGAATTGCAATTGTTTTTGGGTGTTTATCCATTAATTCTCAACTGGAAGTCATGACACCCTTACTAGAGATTTGGCATGGAGAGGATGATGTTTTTCTTTCACGATTCACTTTAGCAGAGGCACAACTAGTCTAGTCTATCATTGCTGAAGAAGAAAAGAGGTATGTCAGCATTCAATCTATCTATCTGATGAGCAAATTGTGGCACATTCCTGGAATGAGGTTAGGAAGAAGTGGTAGGCAAGGCATTCATGAAGCAGTGAAAGTAACCCATAATCCATATGCATTTGGGGTAGGATATCAACCTACGGTAAAAAATTGGAAGAAGAAAGTGATGAAGTAAGAGACAGGGTCAAGGCGAAGAGAGATGGGAAAATAGTATGAGCTAGTTTATAAGCCAATCCAAGGAACACTAAATGGGCACTTTGTTATCCAAGGAGATGACATCCCTTTTTGTGGTTTCCCCGAACCTTGGGTTGATCATGTGACAAAGAGGCGTTTATCCCATATTTAATATTTTCTTTAGTCACCAGCTTTCTAACAGTGAGGAGGAGTGGGTGGACCCTGGTATGGATATTGGTCAAGACCAAGATAGTGATTTGAGCGGCAGCATAAAGGAAGCTCTTGAGATAACACTGGCTAACTTTCTGATAGACTATGGGACCATAGCTGAGAAAATGAACTTGAGGGATAGTGTAGTGATTTTCGTAATCGAGGGAGGACTACCTGTTGAATGTACCAGCCTTATCCTTGATGTGGATGAGGGCCAACACATTGACTAGCAGTTTGCAAAGAGTTTTGTTGTTAGTTCAGAGTCAAATAGTGAGTCCGAGTTTAATTCCACTAAGTCTGCAGGGTCGGAGTCAAACTCGAGTTAGTTCAGTAGGTCGAAGTCTGGTGCTTCTAGGAATAATGACCCGGGCACCACTGTCTTGTCGAGGTCTTCTTTTTCTTTTTCTTTTGAGTCCTTTGTAACCACTGAGTTGAAGATTGTCAATGAGAATGTAGTAGATTTTACTTACTCTTGTGTACTTGTAGTTTATTGCATTGATCATGATTTTGAAAATTTTGATGAAAACAAAAAGGAAGAAATTTCTCGGGCTTTGCAAAAATTGATCAACTAGGAGGAAGAGAGGCATGCTATACCCCTGTTGGATGAGATTATCCCAATTAACGTGGGTGTTGAGAAGATCCTTGGTTGGACCAAATCGGTTCCACATTGTCTTCAGAGGAACGCGAGCGCTTAGTCACTTTGTTAAAAGATTTCAAAGATGTTTTTGCATGATCCTATGAAGACATGCTTGGAATCGATCCTGAGATCATATAACATAGGATCCCTCTCAATCCCGAGGTTCGACCTAACAGAAACTGAGAAAGATATGCCCAGATTGGGCTTTGAAAATCAAAGAAGAGGTCACTAAATAGATTAATCTCGGGTTTTTTATCGTCATAGTGTACCCGACATGGTTGGCCAACATTGTTTCAGTTCCGAAGAAGAATGGCAGAATCAAGGTTTGTGCTGATTTCAGAGATTTAAATAAAGATAGTCTGAAGGATGATTTTCCATTGCCACATATTGATGAGTTGGTGGATTTCACGGTCATACATTGTTATCGTTCATGGATAATTTTTCAGGCTGCAGCTAGATTCTAATGGTGCTGGAAGGCAAAGAGAAGACTGCATTCACCACACAGTAGGAAACATACTGCTACAGAGTTATGTCGTTTAGGCTAAAGAATGCTGGGGCTACATATCAGAGAGCGGCGACCACACTACTGCATCACATGATCTACAAGGAAGTCGAGGTATACGTGGACAACATGGTTGTCAAGTCTAAGGAGCGGAAAGGACATTACATAGCATTAAAAATGTTCTTTGAGAGGATCAGGAAATACAAGCTAAGATTGAATCCATTGAAGTGCACCTTTAGGGTAACTACAGGCAAAATGTTGGGGTTTTTATCATGCAGCGAGGTATTGAGGTGGATCTGTCAAAAATCAAGGCCATTTTGGAGATGAAACCACCAAAGACTGAAAAAGATGTGCACGACTTCCTAGGAAAAGTGCAATTCATAAGTCGATTTATCTCCAATTTAACATTGACTTGTGAACCTGCATTCGGTCTCTTGAAGAAAGAAAAGAATTTCTATTGGGATAATCGATGCCAGTTCACTTTGGAGTGGATCAAGCAATACCTTCAAAATCCACCTGTTCTTTCACCACCAGAGCTAGGGAAACCATTGATCTTATACTTGTCAGTAATAAAAACAACTATGGGATGTATGATAGCACAAGAGTCGGAAGCAAACATGAAAAAGGCCATTTATTACTTGAGTAATAAGATGTTGGAGTACGAGACCCGATACACTTCCTTAGAAAAGGCTTGTCTAGCCTTTAGCATGGGCCACCAAGAAGTTGAGGCACTACCTGCTAGCTTACTCGGTAATTCTAGTTTCAAGACTAGATCCCATTAAATATCTATTTGAGAAACCAACATTTACTGGTAGGCTAATGTCATGACTCGAACTCGCTCCTAGAGGTGTAGGTCATGATCAGCCAGTAATCGTAGATTACCTATGGCCTGAAAGACAAATACAAATTAATTAATAATTAACGGGGCTTACCAGAAGCAAATGACAAATAAAAGACAAGTCCATTGAGCTATGCTTACATGAAAAACTTTAGAATATATATCGCTATTACATTCAAAAACCCATAATATTAACAAAAACTTAAACTTCAATTTACATACATACATTCATACAACCATTATCTTACAAAACAAAGACTTAGACAAAAAGGGTTCAACAAAGCTTGACTCCACTCGAGTTCAAACAACGCCCCATGACGGAGGCACTTCACAAATGGCTTCTCAAAAAGGTGGACTCCTAAAAGCAACTCTAAGCTTGGCCATCTATGCGCTCACCTACATATATATAAAGGAAAGGGGTGAGCTAAAGCCCAATAAGTAATACCAAAATAAAGAGGTTATGAATGAAGTCCAATATAATTCAAAAACATGATTTAGATTTTCAAAGTGAAAATGACTCATAATTCAAATTCATATCAAACTGTAACTTGCTTTTCGTGCTCCTCGAAGGGTTTTAGTCTCCTCGGATATGATAGCCCTACAGTTCAAACTCCTGTGGTTCTGAATTTGATTTCACAAGTACAATGTGAAATAGATAAACACAAATGAGTCCAAATTCAGGAAATCTTTTGGAAAATCGATTTTGAATCAAAAAATGCCAAAAATGGACCTCTTTGCCAGATTACAGAGTCGCCACCTAAATATTTTTGGGAAACTTAGGAAACCCATGACTCATGTGAAAGGCCACTTATCCGTCATCATCGAAGTGTCTTGACTCGAGAACTTAGGTATGAGAGGGAAAGGTCATGAAATTAAGCACCCCACTCACTCAATCAAAGATCGGCCTCTACTAATCATGATGTGATTTTTATTTATATTATATGTTCTTGTTCCAATTATTATGATCTTACTAGGTGATGCACACAAGTATAGACTAATTTGCAAAATTTGGAACGCTTTGATTTCATGTTTGTTTGAAAAAGTGTTTTGAATATGTGTCACTTAAAAAAGTGATCTCATATTTAAATTAATCAAATCATCTAAATTTAAACAATTAGCCTTCATCCACAGGCATTCAAATAGGTATATCAATTAAGCACTTAGTCTCATGGTAATCATGTTTGATATGGCAACAATCACATGCATGCAATATGCTAAAGCGAAAATGCTCACCTAGTACTTAACCGAGGCAAGCCAAAAAAGGGAATAGTTAGAAAAAAAGCAAGATCCTAATCAATACAAACATGACTAATGCAACGCATACAACATGCAACTAATAGATTCGGTTTTTACCATGTCATGTGAATCAATTTGATAGTATGCGGTAGCGCACGTATTCATTGAAGTAATAAATGACAATGTTTGTTAGAATGATGAACCAAACCTTATGCATGCAAAAATGGATATCTACACATGGTAATGATATGAAATTAAAGATATGATGCTACCATTATAAGCGAGTAAATAAAAGGGAGAAATAATGGAAGTTGGAAGACATATACAATATTACAATTTTTGCCCTCACGCAAGAGGGTCTGATTGAATGTCCTAATCAAACTAACTAATTATTACAAATTAGGATTAAACTAACTAATTAGCTACAATGCAAAATTACTTAGCTAAATAACTAGTTATTACAATTTGAAAACTAATTAATTACAATATACCAATTAATCAAGAGCTAATCTAAATTAATTAAACTCGAGCGGGGGTTAAGGAACCACATGTGAAAATGAGAACGTCCTCCCGGAAATGCCTTTGTTTTACTACCAGAACTGTTCGGTCTGCAGAAAATACTTCCGTTGTTGCCTCAGCTTCTGCTCTCTTAAAGAGTGGCATCTCTTTGATTCACAAACCAACAAATTCTCACCCTCAAGTGCTAAAATTTAAGCTCAAGAACCTCAGCAAGGAGCCCTCAGAAAATTGATTTATGGAGTATAGGTAAGGTGTATATCGGTTCCAAGATATATATATATATATATATAGAGAGAGAGAGAGAGATATTTTCAAAAATTTGAGCTTTTGGAATTTTTTCTAACCTAAAAACATAAGGGAAGGTCAATTATATATAAAAGAACTGGTTGCTATCTTAGAAATATTTGTATTGAGCCAGCTGGTGCAGTGCATGCACATGGGGGGACAGTTAGCAGCAAAATATCTGCCAGCCGAGAAACCTAGCCGACCAGCTAGATGGGGGACGGTCGGCCACTAATTTCTGGCTAGTCGGCCACCTTTTAGCCAAAAGGCTTTTGGGTGGTCAAGCTTAGAAAAATTGAGTTTTGGCTCAAAGGCGGTGCAAGGTTTTAGGCTTCTGAGACTCAAAACCGAGGCTTCCTGCAAAGGAAATCGAACATTTATACAGCGTAATTTTCATCATCGAGTGATCAACTTGAGGTGCCCAAGTCTTGTGGGCAGTCAAAAATTGGGTGTCTACAGTTGCCTCTCTTTGACAAAGCTCGAAGTCATGAAATGACATGAGTGAATGTTAAAGCCCAAAGACGACCCATTTTGACAAGGCCGTAAGACTTGGGTAAACAATCAAGACATAAAATTAAATTGGTTGAACTCGAAAGTTGCCTATGTATCCCTTTGCAATGAATCAAACTAGCGTAGTTCAGGGGCTAAATACGACATGAGAAATGATACGATGCAACAGTTGAGAATACAAACGAGCATACCGCCCATAAATAATGAAGATGAGATTCAATGCAATGCAACAATTGAAATCAACTTCTCTATTTATACACCAAAGAAGAAGAATGCAAGCTGACACTATCTCGCAAATCACTCCAAATTTGTTATACCAAATCTAATGCCTCTAACAAATACTCGTGTGCTTTGTACTTTACCGAATTTGGTGTTGTCATTACAAACTTCTTCATCCAAGCTCCAACTAGGTTTTACAAGAGTAGAAGAGAAAGAAGATCACTCCTCACATTGGGTGATATCCAATAAATCACTCCCTCAACCCATGTAAGGTGAGCCGCATCAAAAACTATTGCCAATCCTATCACACCCAAAATCCAGTATAGTTTGCATCTCCTTACTAAGACACCTGCATCCCCTACAGGTAGAGATAATACACTATAGAAAATACATAGATACAAGAGGAGGAGGGAATCTTACATCCTCAATTCAACTCTCACCACTCACTAATTCTCTTTTAGAGAGAGCCTTTGCTCATATCTCCTACAAATCTCTTGCACGCTTCATTTTCTTGGATGGTTTCACCTATTATGCTTGAACTTGCGTAACCAAGATATCTGGCACTCCCTAATTGGATGCCCTGCACCCCTTGCCTAGGATGCCCATTGCCATGTATCACCTTGCACAGCCAACACTGGAACAAAATAAAACACCCTTCGTGTTCCAAGCAATGCGCTTTGCTTGGTCAACTTCCTCTGTCTTCTTTGCTCAGAGTTTTTACCAGTGAACTTTCAACAACTCGTTGTTGCATACTCTTCTCGCGGCTATGTACGACACTCTAGCGTACTATTACACTGCTGCACATCTGCATTTATGCTCCTGCATTTAGTATGCTCCTCTGCAACTATTGTTCTACACATCTACATACTACCAGTACTACTCATATTCTGTTTGACAATATCTCCAACTGTCACAACATTTCCTTGAGCCTATACTGGTTGCCAAATCATCTGTTTGTCGATGAAGTAGACTTCCTCTCTAATTGAACTAAATCTTCCGAACGACTCCTGAGATAATCATCTACAATCCTCTAATCACCCATGACCAATCATGATCTCCCTCGACCCGTCACTTGATCAAGCCTAATCTTCAATGATCTATCTCTTGATCTACATCTAGTTGTCCAATCCGATCAGAATCTACCTATTCTAACCTCTTTAATGAATTTGCAGCGTTCCATAACATTCGATAACTTTCCTCCGGCTATTCAAGATGACAAACTCCCATGTTTTGAAAATCTTCAAAAAAACCCTTCAAAATCTCTCAATTCTGACCTCGTGGTTGCGTCTGGAATGGTTCGTTTAGCTAGGACCAACCTTCGCTGGACTTCCGGGGCCCTCACTGAAAAACTTCTCGAA